GCCTCTCACTGTTGTGGCCTCTCCCGTTGCGGAGCACAGGCTCCGGACGCGCAGGCTCAGCGGCCATGGCTCACGGGCCCAGCCGCTCCGCGGCATGTGGGATCCTCCCGGACCGGGGCACGAACCCGTGTCCCCTGCATCGGCAGGCGGACTCTCAACCACTGCGCCACCAGGGAAGCCCCGAGAGCTATATAGTTTTAAAAACACTTTTGGTGGTTTGGATAATACAAACTCCTAAACCATGAAGCTCAAAAAAAAAATTCTTAGCCGGTGGAACTGACAGAAGGTAACTGTAAAAGCAGTGGCAGGGTCAGATTTTTAAAGGTTGAACAACACTGCCTTACAGACACCTACGTACGCAGCCTGCCTGCCTGTGACCGGTATTTTCCATGCACCTGAAAATACTATTTGTATTTTAGTCTTGAAGAGAAAGTCCCCGTGTTCACTTCCAGCTGGTATCATTCAATATTTTAAAGAGTTGGAGGGTGAGGGAATCGTGAGAAAGGAAAGCAATTTATAAGACCAAAAAGAGATGAATCGCCCCTATTCTAGGAGACTCTTAGAGATTCCGAATAATTATTTAAGTTCTTTTTCTGACTATTACCATTTTTGCAAAGCCTTTTCACAATAAAGCCTGCCCTGTGTACTCCTCCCCTTGGCTCTACCTTGGCCCCATCCCAGGCCGGGGTGCCGTCCGCACCCCACGGGCCCCTCACTGCAGGGGAGGAGCCTCCAGCCACAGGACTTTTTAAAAAGAAAAACAGTATGTAGTCTTCTGCTAACTAGAACTTTTCAATAACTTTCCACGGCTCTTAGGATTGAGGTTAAAATTGAACATGACCTACTCACCAGGCCCCGTTACACCCAAAGCCACAGTTCCCCTCCCCAAGATGGCTGTTTCGCACGCACAGGCGCCTTCAGATCCCCGAGTGCGCCTGGAACCCTGCCTGCCGCACCCAGGCTCTGACTTGCCTCTAAGATCCAGCCTGTCCCTCACTCATCTGCCCCGCACTCCATGGTCCAGGCCAGGCCCCTGACACTCACAGCCCCGGGCCTCCCTGGGAGCACGTCCCACATTACAGTGATGTGACTGTATGTGTATCCCCCTCTATAGCCTGAGGACTGCGGTGGCAAAGACCAAGTCTGTCTTGTTCTGTGTATCCCCAGAATGTGGCACAGAGCAGGTATTTGATACACATTTGTTAACAGAAAAGTCAGAAACCCCGAGGGAAACTGCATACTCCCAAGCAGACCAAATAACAGTGTCATCAAGACCCCTGTAAAGTCAGTGAATTTGTTTTTGCATGTTAAAAAGTATCCCTAGGGCTTCCCTGATGGCACAGTGGTTAAGAATCCACCTGACAGTGCAGGGGACACAGGTTCGAGCCCTGGTCCAGGAAGATCCCACATGCCGCGGAGCAACTAAGCCCGTGCACCACGACTACTGAGCCTGAGCTCTAGAGCCCGCGAGTCACAACTAGTGAGCCTGCGTGCCGCAACTACTGAAGCCCGCGCACCTAGAGCCCGGCTCCGCACAACAAGAGAAGCCACCGTGATGAGAAGCCCGCACACTGCAACAAAGAGTAGCCCCCGCTCGCTGCAACTAGAGAAAGCCCACACGCAGGAACAAAGACCCAACGCAGCCAAAAATAAATAAATAAATAAATTTTTTTTTTTTTTTTTAAAGTATCCCTAAAAAAAGTGCTTCTTGTCCAAATAACTTTGGGAAAATAAAGATGAACAAGGTGTTCTGGGTGCGGCTTCTAAGTCAGGTGCTGTTATACGTCTCTAATACAGACATCAGTAGGAGATTTCCCTTATGTGTCCGGTGGCAAAGCCCCTTTCCACGAAGCCCTGCCCACTGGTCCCCACAAGGCAGGAGCCTACACAGGAGCTCGTATGCAAGAGCGATCGCCCTGCAGACAAACCCCTGTCCAGAAAAACCTCTCATCAGCCCCCTTCTGAAAAGAGGCTGTATTTGGAAGACGTCGCCATCATGTGACCCATTTGCTATGACCGAAGAGCCAACTAGCTCACTCCCCTTCTTGTTCCTGTCCTGACTCCCTCCCCTACAGCCACAGCAGTCCTGTCACAGAGACAGGGGAGGATGAACACAAACCCACATCCTCGCACTAGCAGCGGCCCAGGGCCCCTGAGGGACTGAACTACAGGACACCTGAAACAGGATTTGGGACCTAATCCCAGTTTTGCCACCTCACAATTTTAAATAATATTAAAGCATAGGTTTTCTCCCTCAATTTGACTCACATATGAAAATACTGGGAAAACTCGAGATCTTACCTGACTATATCGTACCCCTAGTATAAAACGATCTGTATAAACAAATATACAAACAATTCCCTAAATATTCTTAAGTAAAACTAAGACTTAATAGTTAAAATTCTGTTAGTCAAATGATAAAACAGGCATCAGCCAAACACCAAGTGATGCATTCCCCAAAATAGTTTCCAAGCCTCTGCTAGACTCAACCATGAGGCTGTTTTAAGTATTTTTTACTTAGTGCTGCTTTTGTTTTCGGGGGAAAAACACCCAAGAAAATCAGAACCATCTTATTTTCACTTTACCACGAATTACAACCTGATATTCAACTCAGTACCTTCCAATTAAGGGGAAAAAGTGGGAAAGGAGTGTGCATGCATCCTCCTTGAAGCTCACTCCGTGCCACAGAGGGAGCGCAGGGCCAGGGCAGCCATGAGCCTGAGGTCCTCCCACAGCTGCCGTGCGCCTGACGCCCCCTCAGCCTCTTGGACTTCAGAGGGAATCGGGAAATGTTTGACGGTACACAGAGAATTTCTAAGAAACTATGTACAGGCACAATTAGTTCATCTGAACACACAGCCAGTTTTGGCTTATTTAAATGAGAAGTGTAAGAGTGCAAATCTGCTCTAAATGGAGGCAGATTTAACTGTAAAGCTTCTTACACTTAGAATAAAGACGTTCTGAGGGGGGTGGGTGGGAGGAGGGGGGACTTGGAGAAAGGTGGTCAAAAGATACAAACTTCCAGTTACAAGATAACTAAGTCCTAGGGATGTAACGTACAGTACAGTGTGATGACTACCGCTAACACTGCTGTGTTATGTTACACACATGAAAGCTGTTAAGACAGTAAATCCTAAGAGTTCTCATCACAAGGAAAAAACAATTTTTCTTCTTTTTTTTGCTTTTTCTTTTTATTGTATCTATATGAGATAATGGATGGTAACTAAGAAAAAAAATGTCCTTATCATTTGCCAAGCCTCCTGATGACACCAAGAGAACTGTCAAAGAATCAGAGATGAATGGGAGAGGATGTGAACAGACATTTCTCCAAAGAAAATACACAAATGGCCAATAAGCACATGAAAAGATGCTCTACCCTCATTAGTCACCAGGAAAATGTAAGTCAAAACCACAATGAGATACCACTTCACACCCACTAGGATGGCAACAATAAAAAAGACGAACAATAACAAGTGTTGGCAAGGATGGGGATAAAATGGAACCCTCATACACTGCGGGTGGGAATGTAGAACGGTGCCACCGCTTTGGAAAACAGTCTAGCCGTTCCTCAAAAAGCTAAACAGTTATCATTTGGCTCAGCAACTCCATTCCTAGGTATATACCCAAGAGCAGTAAAAACGTGAGTCCGTGCAAAAACATAGGCCTGAATTTTCACAAGAGCATTATTCACAACAACAACAACACCCAACCCAAATGTCCATCAACAGATTGAAGGATAAGCAAAATGTGGTATATCCACACAATGAAATATCAGTCACAAAAAGGAATAAAGTTCTTACACATGCTACAACATGGATGAATCTTTAAAACATGCTAAGGTGAAAGAAGCTGGTCGCAAAAGAAAACATGTTGAATGATTCTATTTATATACAGTGTCTAGAACAGGCAAATCCATAGGCAGGGGAGATGTGAGTATGGGGTGACTGCACAAGGGGTTTCCTTTTGGGGCGATGAGGATGTTCCAGATTTAGACAGTGGTAATGAACACCCAACTTGGTGAATCTACTAAAACCTCTGAACTGTACACTTTAAAAGGATGAATTTTATAGTATGTGAATTAGAACTCAATTTTAAAAAAGAATCAGAGGCGGAGCCTTTGTCACTCTTTCCCTCTTGGAGACAATGTATATTAAGGAAGACTGACTAAATGAGAAAAAAATTTTGAAAAATAAAACCATGCAGCAAAAATAGAAATGAAGTTTTCCCTCTCCTGAGAACAAAGAAAAATAAAGGGAACAGTGAACAGGCTAGAGAAGAAACATAACCTGGCCTGAAAGAGTTACATCAATCCTAGTTTTATTTTAACTGTGACTAATCTGTAGTGTCTGTAGTTAGATCTGTCCTTCACAAAGCTAACCTGTCACCCCTCATCCTGTGTAACTGACATTCTGCACCTGGTATTTGCTCCCCCTGTAATCTCTTGTAGCAAATCACCCCTTGTAGCCCTTTGCACTTCAGAAAGGAGGTCACAGACCGATAACCCAGAGACTAACGGACCCAATTACCTGGTGGCCTGACTCCAGTGGGGACTGTTTTGAAATAATGCAAGAAGAAGAATGCAAGACCTTCACCATTTTGATCCTTACCACTCACTTCGGACTGCGAACTCCCCTGTAAGAATCCCTGTAACTCCCCAGGAAGCGGGGACACAGTTCTTGAGGCGCTAGCCTACTGTGTCTTCCCTTTGCCTGGCAAAGAAAATAAAGAGCCTACTTCTTATCTTCCAAATCTCTGTCTCTGTATTTGTATTCGGCATCGGTGCACAGGGAGCCAAGATTTGGCAAGAGCTTCACTCACGGGTTACTAGCAAATATTTAAAGCAGCTTATTCCTCCTTCAATGGGTGCCAGGCATCATCAAAGCCGGCTAAAGAGATGACTGTTATAAGTCAGTTTAGAATAACCTACTACTGACAGAAACTATCTACCCTGGACAAGCTGATCTTACTGCCATGAACATATCAGAACTCACCAGTTCTTGATCTCCTTTAAGTCCATGTGAGCCTGAACGATTCCATTATACCACAGGAGGCCACGCCTTGTGCTTTAGAAGGCCCTATTCAGGTGGTCCAGCCACCCAGAAACCACACGGCAGCTCCTCACCAACAGTATCAAGCCTGGGGTCACTGAGGCCCTGTCTCCCTCAGGACACCAGAAACACGCCAGCTCTGCCGAGGCCAAGCAGTGTGCTTGCGGCCCAGGACGCGTCCTGGCTGCAGGAAAAATGCCTGAAGAGAACACAGCTCCTCGACAGGGGAAAAGCCTGGGAAGGCAGCTCTGAGGTCACACACACAACACTACTGGAGGCCTATTTTGCTTCTGTAAATTAAAAAAGAACATTAAAAAGCAACTTACCTTCTTTAATGTAAATGTCAATTGTTTGCTGCCAACCGTGGTGTCCGATACACTCAATGTCCCACTTTTCGCTTCGAGTTTCAACCGGTCTTCAAGGGTTTTACTGCAGGAAATTTAAGAGAATGACATATTAATTAGCATTTTGTTTTGATTTACCATTTGAAACAAGTTTTAGTTAGAATTGATCACACGAAGAATGATCTCTCACAAATTTGGTAAAGACAGAAAATGGCATTCGTTTAACACAATCAATGGAGAGAATTGTGGGCACTCAAACCGTCATTATTCAGACTCAGCAGATCCCTAGTAGAAACAATGGCTGCCCCAAACACCCACTAATTTAATATGTTAAGTGGGGGTTCCACATATTTCAATGGTTGCTACTTATCTTACTAAATCACATTTCTGAAGCCAAAATGCAAAGGAGCAATATTTCTGAAGCCTGTAATTTACTGTAATGGTCAGCGGCACTTACGCTGCTAAAGCATTTTATACGTACTCCACGCATGAGTTAGGTATGTGAGCATCTCAGCGACTCATTCACCTTCTACAAAGGACTGAACACAAAGGAAGCTCTCCAGGTCGAGCCACAGAGAAGTGCTATGAGAATTCTGATTTGTCCTTCACTCGGTCTTAGCTCATGGACCACACTCATCACCCACAGTGTGACCAGCTTGAAACACGAATACTCGTCTGATCACACAGAGAGAACAAGAGCAGCTACGCTGAGGGTAAATTCTATGTGATCCAGCCCTATTCACTGCTACTTCTCCAGGTGTCTTCCTTTCAAGTTCTTACCTGAATTCCCCTTTCTGACACAATTTGCCCAAATTTCAATTTCATTTCATTTCTTGATCATGTTTCTAAGGTCTCTTTTTATAATCTTTGTCACTGTTATGGTTTGCTGTGCCCGGCAACTGACTGCCAGCTACAACAATCAAGACGTTAAATTTGAATTTTGCACCAGTTATATAACACTTCATTGCATGTTCTTATAATAATGTATTATTATAAAATCAGCTGGTTTGTTAAGCTGGTTTAGAGGGAAAAAACAGAATTAAGCCTAAAGACGGACATTTTGAGTAAGTTTTAAAGTTAGCTCTAGCCCTTCTAGAAAAGGCTAACAGCAACACCCTCATATCTCTGGGATGAAACTAGGAGGGGAGAAGAGAGGGAACACAAAACAAGAATATGGTTTTCTCTTCCATTCGGTTCCTTCCTCAAAAAGAAGTAAATATACTTCCCTTTCCAATCCTCCTTGCACCAACTTAAAACTGTGCACCCTTTTTAAAAGTTAATATGAAAAAACTTGGTTGAAATTAAAAGGGGGTGTGTGCACTGTGTGAAAGGGTCTTCTTTGTCCTGAAATATGATCTTCGTAACTAATTACTGAGTAGAACACAGCTCCTAAATGATCCATTAGACAAAGTGATGCTCCTTTGAAATTCTGAAGCCAATGTTTGACGCTTACACCTTTGAAAGCCCTACCTCCCTCTAGTTCATGAGTACTAGTTAGTACTAAACATACCTTCTTTACATGATTTGAGACGTAAACGTGGTTAGCATAAAAGTGGCACTGTTTTCTAAGCAATAATGTTATTAAGAAGCACTTTCAAAGTATTTTCATCTTCAAGGTTCTTAACAGACTAACTAATTAGTCCTTTCAACATCCCCTGAGACAGAAGCGTTTATCCTCTATAGATGGCACAAACGGAGGCACCATGTTCTCTGACTTGCCCCAGGCCACAGAAGGATTCAAGCCTAAAACCAGGATTCCACCTGAAGAATTCCTGGTTTCCAGGCGTGTGTCAGACCATGCCTGATTTATGAAGGTCTGTTCAGGAAATGTGTCCACTAAGTATTCTAAATGACAAGCTTCCACATGACAAACTGAATGAGACATTAAGGTTTGGTTTCGCCTTTTTTTCACTTGAGCAGGACTCAAAGGTGACGTGTAAACTGACTCCGGCGCGCCTGTGACTCATGTCAGCTCTGCAAATTCCTCCAACCCTTCATTGCACTTTTGTTCTTTCCTTTCAGAGCTACACATGCTGAGATTTTAAAGGTAACAGGAATTCTGAATAAGTATGGAGCCACTGAGACAAGGTGGTACACAGAGAACACTAATTTGGGAAGAAAAAGACTTTTCAAGTAAACCGTGGGAAATGACTACTCTCCGCAGGGTGCCCTACTTCCTGCGCGTAGGGCAGAGAAGCTCTGCTCTCCTCTCCGTGTACCTGGCCGGGCACCTGCAGAAACCTGCTCTGCCTCGGCTGCTTGGAGAGACCTGAGCTTCAGGAGGAGCCGTGGCACAGGATCAGACGCAGGGGCCGAGGGCAGAGGCTCCTGCAGTAAAGCAGGTCCCGCTTCCCTCCCTTTAAGGGCGGCGCGCGGAAAACGGCTGTCCCGAAGCCTGAATTCCCGAAGTGTGAATTCGCTCAGAGGGGATTGAAGACGCAGTCAGGCCCCTGAAAACTGTCTACCGTAACCTTAGAGGAAAAAGCAGACCCCCGCCCCCGCCCCCGCCCCTCCTGCTCCCCTTCGCCCAGCGCTGGCCGGCCCTCCGTCCTGCTCCTCCTCCTGTCTAGGCTTCGGGTTGCGGGCCTCTGGTTGCTTTGTAACTGACGGTGAAGTTAAGAGGTTTAGGGAGAAAGTACCCCCCTGCCAGTCACAAGACGATCAAAACTCCCCCACATCTGGGGGGCTGCTGAGAAGGCAGACATGGGCTGCAGAAGGTGGAAAGTGACAGGAATGACTCAGTCTGGGATGGGTATGGGGGGAAGAACCTGAACGATCAGTGCGGCTGCATTAAAAGAATGAAGAAAAACGGGCATAAACTACGAGCGGAAAAAAATCAAATTAGATATTTATTAGATGCCCCAGGACAGCTGAATGATTTACTTCTTTGAGGCTTTAAAACACACACACACACACACACACACACACACACACACACACACATATCTATTTCCTTAATTAAAACTAATTAAAAATAATGCTCCTTCACAGAGTTTTTAAATCTCTCTGTGAGGAAAGGGAGGTAGGGGAGTGGAAGACATACCTAAAGGCACCTGCTTTAGTACAGTGTTGATAAGAGCGAAATGAGCTTAACAGAAAGGAATCACCCCACACAGTCTACATCAAAGGGAGTAAGAAGGGAGTGGAGAAACAGAAGTATTTAACATTTAAGTGCTTCATTTTAAATATATAACTTTGACAAATATTTACATACACTGTCAAGGTTACTGGAAACTGTCTCAGGGCTTTCAGTTTGCATTTGTGGCTTCAAAGCCTCTATCTCAGCAGATATAAGTTCAAGCAACCACGAAATCGGTTATCTCAACTTGCAGCTCAGTTAAAATTTTAGAAGATCCCTATTATCCACTGTTGTTGCAAGTGTGGGGAAACAGGCACCCTGGCAAGAGGGCAAAGGGCCCAAAGCCCTTCTGGAGGCCGATCTGGCCAAATTGATCGCACACCTCTTTTGGTCCAGCAAATTCCATCACTAGGTAAGGCAGTCTAAAGAAATTCTTGTGCATGTGTATATATTTATAACTGTGAAAAAGGAAGAGAAAAACAAGAAACAACCTAAACATCCAAAATTAGATAGCATGGCCCATCCGTCTTATGAAATTTTTTTTTTTTTTGCGGTACGCGGGCCTCTCACTGTTGTGGCCTCTCCCGTTGCGGAGCACAGGCTCTGGACGCGCAGGCTCAGCGGCCACGGCTCACGGGCCTAGCCGCTCCGTGGCATGTGGGATCTTCCCAGACCGGGGCACGAACCCGCGTCCCCTGCATCGGCAGGCGGACTCTCAACCACTGCGCCACCAGGGAAGCCCTTTATGAAATATTTATGCAGCCATAAGGCAGACCTCCATGTATTTACCATGAAAAAATTTCAAAACTTATCGTTCAGTGAAAAGAGCACGTGAAACAGCAACAAGGTTAGTGTGATCCTTTCATGTCAAAGGCAGAAAAGCTAGAACTGTACACGTGAGTGTGTGCATATACGGGAGTGACTGAAACCTAAGAAGGTGCCCAGAGGAGGACCTCAGGAAGGGAGTGTGGGTAAGAAGAGACTTTCACCTTTCATCCTATGTTCCTAAGTATTACAATGATAATATGCTCGTGTATTACTGGAGCACATATTACTGGAGTAATAAAAGATTCTCTTTTTTTTAAAGTGAAAGTTTGGAATTAAACTGCTTTCAAAATTAGATTTAAAAAATGTTTACATTAAAAACGAGACTGCATTCTTTTAGTTCTTATCCACAGTCAGTGAAGAAAATTAGCTGAAGAGTAAAAACTGAAGAGTATCTAATTTAAAGTGGACAGGGCTGCAGGCATGACGAGCGGCTCACCAAGAGCTACTAAAGCAGCTGGTGAAGAAGATGAGGTCGTCAAAGGCAAAAAATGTCTTAAAAAATCTGTGAATTTCCAGGACCTACCAGAGGGTAGGTGCTTCAAAGAATGCTTTCATGACTTGGGCTGAAAGGGCCACTTAGCATGTAGTATTTATCACCCAAGAAGAGGAGCTATGCTCAACTACTGAAATTTAGAAAGTTATCCCAAGGACTCTTTCTCTGGGGTTTACCAACAGACACCTCCAATATTTACAACATGCGCCGCAGACCGAGGCTGCCCCAGGTAACTGAAGAGGCTGATGTGCCCAGATTCCTGACGGCGGCCAGCCGGCGTGAACTCCCAATCTTTCTACCTAGAAACTCAATCATCTCCACCCATCCTGACTTCTCTCCCTTGTCTCTGAAGATGTACTGGTGCTCCTGACCCCATTCACTCCGGACTGCTCACCTATTTCAGCTCTGCCAATTCAGTCCAGTCTCATTTCTTCACTCTCCCCTTCCTCTCTGCGTACTGATCAGTCACATCTCTCAAGCCTAAAAACCCTTTCCTATCAAGTTACTGGCTCTGAATACCTTCCTTTCACTGCCAATGTCTTGAGAGAACCATCTATGCTAACTGTTCACAATATTCTTTTATCTCCCATTCATTCATCAATCCTGAGAAATTCATCGCAATAAGACACTCTTCCTACGGCCTTTTTCCAACCTCCATTCGGGGGGCCTCCCGTGCTCCGCCTGACATTTGAGCCACGCCCCTCTCGGTGAAAGTCTCTCCATGCTTGGCTCTTTCGTTTTCCTCCCGCCTCTTGGGCAGCTCCTTAGTAATGTTTACTGCCCGTATTCTCCTTTACCAGTCCTCTAAATCAGAATTCTCAGCCCCAGCCTAGGGATATATTCCCGACACCTCTAAAATCATATGTGTTACTTTGCATGCACTTGTATGTTGTCAGAGAGGTGTACGGTTTTCATCATAGACACAAGAATAATACTTCTTGTTCCCAAGGGCTCCACTCTTAGCCCTCATCTCCCTCTACATAATGGTGGGAAGTCTTTTTTATAGCACAGTTTCAGTCCCACAATGAAGCTGGTATCTCTTATACCAATGTCTCTGGCCCACCTCCTACATTTCCATTTGTCAGCTGGACATTACCAAGAAGACATTTGGGTCTTGCAGACTTAATGTGTTGAACACCCAGCTCAATACTTTAGCCTTAAATTTGTTTTTCATTCTGTATCCCTTATCTCGGTGGCAACACTGCTAGACATTTCAACGTCTCCTGTGACATTAAATTAGTGAGCAAACAGTGCTGTAGTGTGTGTCTTATTCTCAGACGTGCTTATGAATACTCAGGCTCCTCTCCACCGCACGCTTCAGGCTTTCGTCACTTCCCGCTGGGACTGCTGTGCAGGGTGTGAGCTGACCTCACAGGCCCAGTTTCTCCCTGCATTTTCTCTCTAAAACTGCGGAATTTCATAACAGTCTCTGGGAAATAGGGACTCTTTCGCTTATGTTTTTATTTTTATTTTCTACAACAAGCATGTACTGCTTTTACCGTGTAAGTATTTCCATCGTTGGGAGGAGGGGCTGAGCAGATCTGATCACGTTCATCTTAGCCCAAACCCTTCCCTGGCCCGCCAGGACCTGGGTCGGGGCCTAACACGCCTCTCTGGCTCATCAGCTGTGCCCCTGCCACTCACTCTGCGCTCTCGCTGCACAACGAGAGCGCTTCCCTCACTTCCACACAGCAGTCCTCTCTCCACGCCGCTCCCTCGGCCTAGAATGCCAGCTTTCCCACCCAGCTTTCTGAGCTCATCTTTTTCTTTCAACAGACCAGTTTTAATATGACCTCTAATAAAGACGCCCTCCAATCTCTAAAAACTGACCCTCTGTCTTCCTTGTAGACATTCCCCAGGCCTCTGAACAGCTCACAGTGTCAGCGAGAATGGGAATATGCAACGGGCACGTGAGCTCTGCTTTTCCTTTCCATCCCCCGGGCCTAGAACAGCACTTTGCTCACATGAGGCACCCGATGAATAACTGACTGATGAATGGGTGGGTGGAGAGGCTGACAGGTGGATGAACAGACACACAAACAAAGCGCAGCATACTGGAAGGCATATGAAAAGGTGCTGACAGACATGTGCGTTTATCTAAAGCCTTGTTACTACGTCAAGCAAAGGACTCACTGAAGCACCCGGTCAGGATTCACTCTTCACTCTTCCCTTTACAGAAATGGTTTTAAGGTTGGGCAAGTCCAAGTGAACTTTTAAACATAATACACTTGCTTCTGATGTTGTGTTTTGTTGGTCGCCTTGTGGTAACTCACAGAATAAACATAAGGAATCACTATAGCTGTCTGAAGGATAAATGGTTCAATGCTTCATTAAATAACATTAAAATATTACAAGTTCAGAATTTGCCAGAATAATCCAGTCAAGACCAGAGTTCAATAAGCAGTATGTACCAAAATGCCAGCAAACTGCAGGCTATTCACACCAAAGGGTCATTACTTTAAGCAAGTGGATTTGGCTTTTAAGCTTGTGTAAGTATTATCACTCATATAGCTCCTCTTCTCAAAAAAATTGTTTAACTTACTGACGTTTAACTTAGTAAGAATGTTTAACTGCAGTGCATTAACTTAGCTATTATTTATCATTAAATACTAAATTTTCCTCCCTTTTGTTTTTTACGTTAATATCCTACTACAAGCCACAGGCAAAGCAAGAATGTCAGTGAGTTTAGTCACGTCTCCTACCCCCAAATTGTGGCTCCCTGTTACCATGGTTACCCTGAAAACAACTGCTCCCAGATTTTCCTGGGTTTCAGGTAAATGAGTTCTTTTTCAGCAGATCTTGAAAGGGTAACTTCCAGAGTTGCCTGACATGTAGTCAAGGCATAGAAGATTCACACTCTCACAAGGATTTATCAAGTGCCTACTTGGGTCTAGGTACTGATCCAGGAGCTAGGGGTAAATAATGCAAGATAAAAACAGCAGATAATCTAAAAAGAAATTCACTCCATGGAATCAGAATACTGAAAACAAGCAGTCTTCCCTCTGCTTCTGAGTAGGACTCCAAATAAAAATCTAAGAATGACAGCTACATAAAAATCGAGGCTGCGGGCTTCCCTGGTGGCGCAGTGGTTGAGAGTCTGCCTGCCAATGCAGGGGACACTGGTTCGTGCCGCGGTCCAGGAGGATCCCACATGCCGCGGAGCGGCTGGGCCCGTGAGCCGTGGCCACTGAGCCTGCGCGTCCGGAGCCTGTGCTCCGCAACGGGAGAGGCCACAACAGTGAGAGGCCCGCGTACCGCAAAAAAAAAAAAAAAAAAAAAAAAAGCGAGGCTGCACGTATTGCTGATGGAATGGAAAATGAAGAAGCCTCTTTGGAAAACAGTGCGGCAGTTTCTCAGAAGGTTAGACATAACGTTACCATGGGACCAACAATCCCACTCCTAGGTACACAGCCAGGAGAAATGAAAACATATATCCATGCAAACACATACACAAATGTTCATAGAACCATTATTTGTGATAGGCAAAAACTGGAAACAACATAAATATCCTTCAACTGATAAATGGATAAATAAAATGTGGTATATCCATATCCTGGAATATTATTCAGCAATAAAAACTAATAAAGTACTGACACGTACCACAACATGGATGAACATGTAAAACATTATGCCAAGTAAAAGCAGTTGGACAAAACACCACATACTATATGATTCCATTTGTATGAAATGTCAGGGACTTCCCTGGTGGTCCAGTGGTTAAGAATCTGCCTTCCAATGCAGGGGACGTGGGTTTGATCCCTGGTCGGGGAACTAAGATCCCACATGCCACGGGGCAACTAAGCCTGTGTGCTGCAACTACTGAGCCCCCGTGCTCTGGAGCCCATGTACCTCGACTGGAGAGAAGCCCACGTGCCCCAACTAAGACCAGACGCAGCCAAATAATAAATAAACATTAAGGGAAAAAAGAAATGTCAGAATAGGCAAATCTATAGAGGTAGAGAATAGATTAGTGGATGTCCGGGGATGGGATGGGGTAAATGGGGGTGAATACCAACGGGGTAAGGAATTTTGTTTGGGGGCAATGAAAATGTTTTAAAACTGACTGCGGTGGTGGTTGCAGAACCCTGTGAATAGGCTAAAAACCAACGACTTACACACTTTATGTACGTGACCTGTATGTTATACAAACTATATTTCAAGAAAGTTGTTATGAAAAAACAAAAGTGAGGTTGGTAG